AGGCGGGTCTCGAACCCACGGGCTCAGGCAATTCACTCACCTCAGCCTCCCAAAGCACGGTATTACAGGCTGAGCCACCGAGCCCGGCCGCCAAGGCCTTTATTTAATCCTACAACAGTCCTTTGAGGTTGGTACTGTTGTTAGCCCCATTTCACAGACAGGGAAACTGAGGCACAGAGAGGTTAAGTAATTTCCCCCAAGATCACACAGCACTAGTGAAGTTGGGCTATAAACCCAGGCAGTCTGGTTCCAGGGCCTGAGCTCTAACTAACTGATATACTTCCAGTCTGCATTCATAGTTAAAGAGTTGATTAATAGACAGACAACCAGAGAGATCAACAGATAAGCTGCCTGCCACTCCGAAGGGTGTCTTCTAGCCACTGGGGCCTCCACACTTATCATAAGAAACCACAGAGGGGACAGAAGCTTGGCTTTTGGGTTAGACCTGACTGGAAGTCACTAAAAACACAATTACTGCCTGACGCATAGAAATGATGAGTGCTTATGGTGATGGATGCCTTAAAGCCCTGAATTAATTATTACATGTTCTAGGCATGTAACAAATATCACACATACTCTATAAATATACAAATATTACATCTCAATGAAAAAACACAATTATTGGATTTTTAAATAGCAATGCTTAACATTCTTTGAGTGCTTACTCTATACTGGGTACTGTACTGAGAGGGTTTTTTTTTTTGTCAATTTTATTAACTTCTCCTCATGCTACCCCACGCAAAGACACTGTGGCTCAGAAGTGACTGGGTAACTTGCCTGCAAGGACCCAGCCAACAGGTCCAAGTACCAGGATTATTTTATTTTATTTTATTTTTTTGATTTGGGGTTTCACTCTAACGCCCAGGCTGGAATGCAATTGCATGATCATGGCTCACCGCAGCCTCGACCTGCTGGAGCCTGGTGATCCTCCCACCTCAGCCTCCTGAGTAGCTGGGACTACAAGTGCACACCATCACACTTGGCTAATTTTTTGATTGTTTTTTTTTTTTTTTTGTATTTTGTAGAGACGAGGTCTCACTATGTTGCCCAGGTTGGTCTTGAACTCCTGGGGTCAAGCAATTCTCCCACCTTGGCCTCTCAAAGTGCTGGGATTATAGGCGTGAGTCACTGGGTGCAGTCAGTACTGGGACTTAAGGTCATGCAAGTGCTCCCAGATGCTTCTGTTTCCTTGTCCTCCATAATGGCACCTTTGGTGTCCCTGAGTCTCATCATTAAGGGGGCTTAAGAGGATGGATGCTATAATTAATAGAAGTTCAAGGGGCTGAGTGACTGGGTCAGGGGTGGAGAGGGACGTGGAGTCAGGGGCCTGGCCACCTTGCCTGTGGGTCGACCACCTGCCCTCCCATGGAGGAGCTCTGGCTTGGATGTCAGGCAGGGAGTGGCGAGACTCCCTGCTCTGCCTGCCACTCAGGAGCTGGTGACTTCAGATCCCTTCCTTCCTCTCTGAGCCCATTTCATCACCTCTTTCTGGGGATGGAGTTAGCCACTCTCTAGAGTTATCAGGACTGAATGAGATGCTGTGTAAGGAGCGGCTGTTTCTGATGATACCACATCTTCATTGTTCTGCTGGTCCCCCAGGGTCCCAGCCCCAAGGTCCCCTGAGCACGCTTCTAACACCTGTCCTCACAGCCCCTGCAAAGCTGCCTGCACCCTTGTGCTAAATTGCAGACTGCCGGCTGCTGTGGGATTACGTGTATCAGCTACTCCTCGATGCCAGGTATGAGCCCTACATCAGGTGGGAAGACAAGGACGCCAAGATCTTCCGAGTTGTGGATCCAAACGGGCTCGCCAGACTCTGGGGAAATCACAAGGTGAACCTCAGCCGGCAGGCGGGAGGGTCTCAACATATCCAGAAGAAGTTAGAGCCGGGAGTCAGAGTGGACCCCTCAGCACTAGGGGGCAGTCCTCAACTGAGGGGCCTTCACCAGCAATCTCTGAATACCTGGATCATTTTATTTTGGGAGGCATTCAGGGACAGGCAGGATGGGAAGTATCCCTGAAACTCAAAACTGCGCCTTCTAATGCTTACTCTTACCTTTGCTTAGTGTTTGAGCCTTTCAAAGCACGTGTACGTGAATTGGGCATGAATGTGGTGGGTGGCCAGGCCAGAGGAGGAAGCTGGGACAGAAGCCAGTGTCTCAGGCACCACCAGAGCATCCAATGTCAGGGCTAGAAAGGCCTGGGGATGAGGAGGCCGGCATTCTCATCGTGAGGAGGGTCTGAACCGAGGTAGGTGGCTACAGGGTGGCCACAGGTGACTCACCTCAAATTCTCACACTTATTTTTGAGTTAGGATTTCAAAATGTAACTCCTGTGCCCATCGTGTGATTTACAGTGGTGATATAAAGAACGGGTCCTTTAAAAAAAAAGTTTAAGTTAAAAAAAAACCAAGGTCTTTGAAAGAAAACAATTCTTTTGAGTCAGGGTCTCACTCTGTGGCCTAGGCTGGAGTGCAGTGTCACGATTACGGCTCACTGCAGCTTCAGTCTCCTGGCTTCAGGCGATCCTTCCATCTCAGCCTCCCAAGTAGCTGGGACCACCATACCCAGCTAATTTAAAAAAATTTTTTTTGTAGAGACAAGGTCTCACCACATTGCCCAGGCTCGTCTCAAACTCCTGGGCTCAAGCAATTCTCTCGCCTCGGCCTCCCAAAATGCTGGGATTACAGGCGTGAACTACCATGCCCAGCCAAGAAAACTATCAGCAATAGTGATAAGTAGCGACTTACAGCATTTTCTAAAATGCAATAGAGTCTAATTGCCAGGGCTTTACCTGTGTTAATTCACTTAATCCTCACAGCAATTTCATGAAGTAGGTTTTCTTTTTCTTTTTTTTCTGAGTTGGAGTCTCACTCGGTCGCCCAGACTGGAGTGCAGTGGCCGCTCCCAGCCACCGCAGCCTCGCCTGCTGGGCTCCGGCGATCCTTCGGCCTCAGCCTTCTGAGTAGCCGGAATTACAGGCACGCGCTACCACGCCCGGCTGATTTTTTGATTTACTGTAGAGATGAGGTCTCGCTGCCCAGGCGGGTCTCGAACCCACGGGCTCAGGCAGTCCACTCACATCAGCTTCCCAAAGGCGCGGGATTACAGGCTGAGCCACCGAGTCAGGGTCTTATTCTGTCATCCAGGCTGGAGTGCAGTGGCATGCTCATGGCCACCGCAGCCTTGACCTGCTGGGTTCACACCATTCTTCTGCCTCAGCCTTCCAAATAGCTGAAACTACATGTGCACACCACCACACCTGGCTCATTTTTTGATTTATTGTAGAGACAAGGTCTCTCATGTTGCCCAGGCTGGTCTCGAGCTCCTGGGATCAGGCAGTCCTCTTGCCTCTGCCTCCAAAAGTGCTGGGATTGCAGGTGTAAAGCACCATGCCCAGCTGTGAAGTAGGTATTATCAGATGCAGAAACTGAGGCACAGTACCCCCCACCTCCCCATAAGGGGCAGGGCAGGGACTTGAACTCAGGCCATACGGCCCTGTGTCCACTAGATTATGTTGCTCTTAGCAGCGCTGGTGGCCAGAAAGATGCAGACAGCTGAAGTTTGGGGTGCTTACCTGGTCCCATCCTTGTATGGTACAGGGAGAGAACAGGCCCAGAGCAGCCACTCCATTGAATGAGCACATACTACATGCCACACATGGTCTAAGTGCCTTCGCGGATTCGCTGACTTAATCCTCACAACAAACCTTTGAGGCAAATGTTCTTATTCTCATGCTATAGTTGGAGAAGCAGACTCAGAGAGGCAAAGACACTCGTCCAAGTTCACACAGCTGCCAAGTGCTGGAGCTGGGGTTCAAGTTGACGCCAAAGCCCAGGCTCTTTGCCCCTACCCTGCACTGCCTATCCCCTGGAGGAGGGGAAAAAAAGATGTGACCAAAGTCACACAGTGGGTGGCAAGGCCATCTGTGCCACCCCACCGTGCCATCTCTGATTATACTTCCCACAAATATACATATTTATTTGTTACTGCTGGTGACAGTCACTTGCAATTTATTCCTACTCCATGGTCTCAGCCAGGTAGGCAGAACTTCCTGTCATTTCTTCCCCAAACTTCCTCTGTCTTTCTCTTTCCAAACTCAAGCGAGCTCTCATAAAACCTCACAAAACCCTGGGGCGAGAGGCTTAGAAGCCATCCAGCCCAGTGGTGTGGATAATAAGGCCTAGAAGGAACGAGGCATGGAGTAGGGGCCTGACATGGGGTTGCTTTGCCTCCCAGAACCGAGTGAACATGACCTACGAGAAGATGTCCCGTGCCCTGCGCCACTATTATAAGCTGAACATCATTAAGAAGGAACCCGGGCAGAAACTCTTGTTCAGGTGAGTAGCCTAGGGGCCGAGGTGAAAAGGAGAAGTGGAACTGGGGTTGGCTGAACTGGAGGTCCCCTGTAGCCGGTAGGGGCTGATGTGCAGTTGGGGTCTGAATTTCAGATTTCTAAAGACTCCGGGGAAGATGGTCCGGGGCAAGGACAGCCACTTGGAGCGGTTGCACAGCCAGGAGAAGGACCGAACGGAGTTCAAGGACGAGATGCCAGAAGTCTCTCCGTGAGGGGCAGGTGGACTCCAGGCACCTGGCACCGATGGGGCAGAGATGAAGCCTCCCATGAAGACAGCCTCCTTCCTCCTAGGGCAACAGGGGTCCCCTGCCAGATTTTGTACCCATGGGATCACAGCTGTTGTCTTGGGCCTCCAGCTGCCTGGGGAGCTGGGATGACTGGGAAGCCTCACAGCCAGGACACTGGGGGAGGGGGTGTCATCCCTTGGTAGGGCAGCCCTGGGGCTAAATGGGGCATCAGGAGTGCACTGTCCCCACTCTACTCCTCAGTACCTGCTCAGCTCAGGAGAGGAGGCCAGACATGAATGGGCATTCAGCTTGACCCTTCAGTCCACAAAAGAGAAGAGTGAAGGTCCTTCACCGAGCCTCAGATTTCCTCATCTGTAAAAAGGGGCTTGCTCGCAAGAACTCACCCTGAGGCTGTTGCATGGACCAGGAGAAAGGACTTGAGCTTGGTCAGCCTTTGCAATAATAATGACAATGGTAGCTAATGTTTCTTCAGTGTTTACTCTGTGCCAGGCCTTGGGCTAAGGACCGTATGCATATTTAAGTAATTTATCTCATTTAATTCACATGCCAGCCCCCAGCTGCCAGATTTATTTTTATTTTTATTTTTTGAGTTGGAGTCTCACTCTGTCGCCCAGACTGGAGTGCAGTGGCCGCTGCCGGCCACCGCAGCCTCGACCTGCTGGGCTCCGGCGATCGTTCCACCTCAGCCTTCCAAGTAGCTGGAACTACAGGTGCGTGCTCCC